ACTTGATATGATTTGAATGTCTTCTCCAAAACTCAAGTCAAAATACATTCTATTTCAACCCATTCTAACAGTGTTAAAAGGTGGGACTTAGAAGTGGTAAGTGATCCACAGTTAAGAAGCCCACATCCTATAGTAAAGTGCTTATGTTTTGAGTCCTGCTCTGCTTCTTATTCCAGCTTGCTCCTAATGTACTCATTAGGAGGCAACAGGTAATAGCTCTAGTACTTGGATCCCCAATACCATGTGGAAGACCTAGATGGAGTTTGAGCCTCCTGGAGTGGCATAAGCCTACGCCAATCTGTTGTGGCCATTTACAGAGTCAATCAGTGAATGGAAGATGTCTGTCTCACTCCACTCCCAAGTACCCCATCTCTCCACCTTTCAACTAAATTAAAGAAAGGTGAGGCCTTTAAGATGGGATTAATACATTAAGGTCCTTATAACTGGAGGGCATGGTTCAAGACCCTTACTCTGTATAGCCTGTCATTCTTGGACTTCTGTTCCCGAGTACCATGAGATTATAAACAGTTATAATTTACTACCTAGACTGTTGCAACAACAGTAGATAATGGATTGAGACAAAGCTTTTGTTTGTTTCTTTGAAGATTTATTATACTTGAAAGAGTTACAGAAAGAGGGGTGGGAGAGAGATTATCCATCCACTGATTACTCCCCAAATGGTTACAGTGACATCTGGGCTGTTCCAAAGCTGGGAGTCAGGAGCTTCTGGAACTAATGTGAGTGCAGGGACCAAGCACTTGGCTCTTCCTCTTCTGCTTTCCCAGGCCACCAGGAAGGAGCTGAATCAGAAATGGAGCAAGCAACTGGGCTGGTGCAGATATTGTAGGATACATTTCTGCTTGTGGTGTCAGCATCACATTTGGGCCCCAGTTCTGTCCTGGCTGCTCTGCTTCTAATCCAGCTTCCTGCTGATGGCTGTGGAAAGCCGTGGAGGATGGCTCACGTTGTTTGGCTCATGCAACCATGTGGGAGATCAGGAACAATGCTCCTGGCTTTAAATGGGTTCAGCTCTGGCGGAGTGAACTAGTTAGTGGAAGATCTCTGTGTCTCTACTTCTGTAAATCTGCCTTTCAAATAAAATTTTTAAAAATCTTAAAAAGTGGAGCAGCTGAGACTCAAACCAGCACCCAAATGAATAGCCAACACTTAGGCAGAGGATTATCTGCAGTACTACTACATTGACCCCATTTTTTGTTCTTTGCTGTTTTGATTTGTTTTTGAGAGGCAGATGACGTGTTAATCCCCACATGTCTCCAGTTACTGGGACTAGTCAGGTCTGGAGTACAGTCTCTTATGTGGGTGTTAGGAACCTGCTTATTTGAACCTGAACCAGAAATCTAACCTAGGCACTCTAGTATGGGACATGGATATCCTACTAGGCTAAGTACCTGCTCTGATACTACTTATTATATTACTGTGCTAAAACTTAGCTTGCTTGCTTGCTTTTTTTTCTTTCTTTCTCTCTTTCTCTTTCTTTCTTTCTAAAGATATCTTTATTTACCTGTTTGAAAGGGAGAGTGACAGAGGCAGACATACTTCATTTAATGGTTTGTTCCACAATGCCTGCAACAGTTGGGTCTGGGCCAGTGTGAAGTCAAGATCCCAGAACTTAGGTGGGTCTCCTGTATGAATGACAGGGCCGTTATCGAGTGTTTCCTCAGTGCATTAAAAGGAAGGTAAGAGTAATAGCCAGACCTTGGACTAACATGCTATTGATGATAGGCTAGGCTGTCATTCCAGATAGTAGTTTAGCCTGTCCTAAAACACCCGCTCCAGCATGCATTGTTTCATCTTATCATTCCACTTTTCTAATGCAAATGTTTTCTATGTCCATGTTGTAATCCCAACTGTTGTGTTAATCAAGTTTGACTATATAGCAAACTGAACTTTTGCTGACCAGATTAATAGCTAATGGGCTCTATAAAGAGACAGGCAAGTAGCTGTATTTTCCAAATCCAAGGATTTAATACAAATGTGTATAGGCATGTTCACAGTTGCTGTGTCACATGTATTCACAGCCTTTCCCACTTTTAGATGTGTACTCTGAAAATTTGACTATGGTAGTCTGAAGTGTCTTAAATTTGACTAATGATTTGAAATTTTTTTGTAAGGTTTAGTTTTCAATGGAAAGCCAGATTTACAGAGGAAAGGAGACAAAGATCTTCCATCTACTAGTTCACTCTCCAAGTGGCCACAATGGCCAAAGCTGAGCTGATCCAAAGCCAGGAGCCAGGATCATTTTCCAGGTCTCCCATGCAGGTACAGTTTATAAGGCTTTGTGCCATCCTCTACTGCTTTCCCAGGCCACAAGCAGGGAGCTGGATGGGAAGTAGAGCAGCCAGGACATGAACCAGCATTCTTAAGGGGTCCCAGCACTTCCAAAGGGAGGATTTAGCCATGGAGCCACAATTTGAAATTTTTTTAAAAACAATGTATCACAAATTTCCTTGAGCTAAGAGGATAATCCCTTTAATAGCTGCTGTTTTCAGTTTTCTGTGGTTAGAATTGTAAAGTCTGGTGACAATAGGGGCTAAGTAGATAAATGAGTAAAGCAGGAGAAGCCACAAATTTAGCTCTGTAGTAGTGTGCTCTCATTTTAATACAAGGGTACTTCAAAAAGTTCATGGAAATAGGAAGGTAAATTTTTTGAAGCCATGATTGTTTTTTTCTAATGTGCAGTTTTTTATATTGCAGGCAACTGTGTAATTTGCTGTGCCCCAGGTCACAAACGTCTTTAAAGCCTTGCTTTTACATTTTTTTCTACTAGCGACTTTGGATTTCCTTTTATCTTTGAATGAAGTTGTTTTAACTTCTAAAAGCCTGAGTATGCAGGGTGATTGGCTCATTTTCTTGACATTTCTGTGTATTCCTCATTGGTTTGTGTTTCATACTACATGTTCTTTGCTAAATTATACTTAGAAGTTGGTGACATTGCTGTGATATATTTAGAAATTCCACATCTTAAAATAATTTTGTACTAAGTGATAGAATTACAGAAGTATTCTGCTTCAGCCAGACATATCATGTTAAACTATTTAAAGTTTAATTTTGTTGATAATGTTAAGTTTAATGGATGTTTTGGAATTGTATAGCATATTCTGATGAACTCATTTCTGGTCATTTTCTTCCCGCATAAACTTGTTTCGCAAAATAATTTCTGTGATGGTGTACTTTTTTTTAAAAATTCATGCCTTTTTGTTTTAATTAGGGAGACATTAAGCTGTTTATCCCCTAATGATTCACTCTTGTTTTCTCTGTTCTGTTCACCATAATAGAAACTTTATTTTTTTATTTGAACATGCACACACTTGAACCTTTTGCCTGCTAGCTCACTTCCCAAATGGGAACAACCAGGGTTGGGCCAAGCCAATGCTAGAAGCCTAGATCTCACCGAAGCTTCTTGTGAGTGGCAGGGACCTAAGTATTTGGGCCATTTTCAGCTGCTTTCCCAGACACCTTGATGGAGAGCTGGATTGGAAGCAACAGGTGCTGTGATTTGAGATTCTCGAGTCACTATATACAACACTACCTGCAAAATTGCCTGCTGTTTGCTACAAGCTTTTTTTTTTTTAAACAAAGTCAGATATACAAAGAGGGGAGAGAGGGAGAGAGGAAGATCTTTCATCTGATGATTCACTCCCCAAGTGAGCGCAACTGCCGGTGCTGTGCTGGTCCAGAGCCAGGAACTTCCTCCAGGTCTCCCACATGGGTGCAGGGTCCCAAGGCTTTAGGCCATCCTGGACTGCTTTCCCTGGTTACAAGCAGGGAACTGGATGGGAAGCAGAGCTGCCGGGATTAGAACTAGTGCCCGTGTCCAAGGCAAGAACTTTAGCTGCTAGGCTATTGCTGCCGGGCCCTACTACAAGCTTTTTTGAACATTCCTTTATTTTTCGATTTGACTTGATGCTGTTTTTCGTTTATCATCTACTGTTAGGATGTTTGAAAAGGCGTATAATGTATTTAGACAATGCTACTATAGAGCTGGCAGTAGCAAAATTGTGCAGATCTTTGAGTTTGCTTTGTTATATTTACTCAACCTTTACATTACAGAAACAGTGAACATGAGTTATTTAAAAGTCCCTTTTTTAACTCTAAAGTGAAAAGGTTTTATTGCTAATTATCTGAAGCTTTTAATTTTTTTCTCATGAAGCCAGTTATTTTGATTACGTGTTTTCTTAGACGTGCTCAGACTGTGATTTTTTTTTTTCAAAATATAAATTCATAAATCCAGAGGATTCTGGTTCTGAAAAAGTGTATGGACATCCATAATGTAAATTTTGAACAATACCTCTTTGTTTCAGAATAGAAAGTACATAATTAGAGCTACTTGACTGATTTTCTTGGAATAAAATTTTAAGAAGCTGATTAGTTGGATAAAGGGAATATGCTGTTTTAGCTTGTTAGTCCGTAATGCTGAATTATCCTCGATATTCCCTCAGTTTACATTCTCATCTCGGCGTATCAGGTACCATTTGCTAACTGGCAATATCAGATAGTGTCCATCTTTTCAATACTCAGTAGATGGATCTGAATTTTTCTGAGCTTTGAACTGTAGGGAAGCTTTAGCATTTGTGGTAATTATCTCTTTTTCAAGTAGTTGTTGGTTATTGCATTTATCCTTTGTTACACGCATATATTACATGAAAGCTATAAGTGGTTTTGATTGAATGACAGAGGTTAATAAATGGTAATGTTCACAGGAATACAAATTCGGTGTGAAAAGGTTAGATTTACTAATCGTGTTAACAGAGATCCCTATAACAATATAGGGGTAGCTTGCTTTCCTTAGTTCTTTATCAGTGGACACTTCCTTCAGTGTTTTTTTAACATTATAAAAGTAGTGGATATCATTCAGTCATTTACCCATTAAAGTTTTCACAATTCAAATATAAGTGTTTAAGACACATTGTTGTTGATATCTTCATCTTAAATGAGTGATGCTAATTATATTTTATTGAGTACATTTTGATTTGTTCCAGTAGCCGGATCGAGCTGGGAGATGTGACCCCACACAATATTAAACAGTTGAAGAGGTTGAACCAAGTCATCTTTCCAGTCAGTTACAATGACAAATTCTACAAGGATGTGCTGGAGGTTGGAGAGCTAGCAAAACTTGGTATATGGTTTTTCCCTCATTTCTTCAGTGTTCATGAACTCTATTTTTAAATAACAGACCAGAAAGAATTAATGCAGTATCCTTATTTAACAAGTAAGGAAATGGGATGGTCTACATTCTGAGGAATGTTTCAGAGAAATCAAGATAAAATACTTGAATGTTAAAGTGAAATATTGAATGTTTGGGATTTTTATTTTTTCTATGTATCTGTGTATTTTCATTTAGTTTTAATTGAGAGGATGCTTAAATTTCCTGCAAGAGTACAAGTTTCAAGTTCATTAATATTCTTAGGATAACTGATAAAATTAAGTGCTGACACTGATAGTTTGTTTCTTTGCAAAGGGAAAGAATTAAGCACTGTATTATGCTGTGTGAATTTTAATACTTACATTTTCTGTCGCAGCCTATTTCAACGACATTGCTGTCGGTGCGGTGTGCTGTAGGGTGGATCATTCACAGAATCAGAAGAGGCTGTACATCATGACACTAGGATGTCTGGCACCTTACCGAAGGCTAGGAATAGGTACAATTCTTATGTTTTTTTAAGCTTCTTTAAAGAAACATTGTTAGTATACTTGACTATTAGTAAGTATGTTATTCCTTAAAAGAAAATGGGGAAAGGGTTTTGAATTATGGCTAAGATGTCAAAAAGATGTGTTTGTAATTAAAATGTTGATTTATGAGGATATTTACTTATAACTTGTTCTTGTTCCCCACGTCTAATAGGGACAAAAATGTTAAATCATGTCTTAAACATCTGTGAGAAAGATGGCACTTTTGACAACATTTATCTGTAAGTAAAATAATATTCAGTGTTCTTTAAAGAGTTTATTTAATCAGTTGGGGAGGGAAATCTCTAGTGAGCTTTTTAACAGGATTACTTCTTTGTGTTTTTGGAAACACTGGCAGTTTAGTTGATCCATGTGTTCTCAGGGCAGTTGGTTCAAGGACCACTCTCAGAAACCAAAATCTGAGGAAAAAATAATGGGAAAAGTACTGATGTTCTTTTTTCTTTTTAAATATTTTCCACCCTTGATTGGTTAAATCTGTGAGTGTAGAACTAGCATATATAAAGGGCTAATTATAGAACTTACAAAGTTATATGTGTTTTAATAAATTGATTTAAAACTTGATTTTGCTGTACTATATTCAGATTAGAGTTCCGAAGTTAGGAATGAAACCAGGTTAAAACTCAGATGTTGCATAATAAAACAGCATTAATACTATTTCTTTCATACTATGCTGTCTGCACTTGGATTTTCCTCAAGGCTATCAGTAATGTGCTTATTTGTAGTAGAATTTGTTCACTAAAATTAGATTATCTAACTGAAATTATACTTTGTTTTCAAGAGGCTATATAGTATTTTCATATATAGCATGATCTTTCAGTTAAAAGGAGGAGATAGGCATTTGAGATCCTAATTTTTATGTTTTATGAAGATGTTAATATGGGCTTTGAATCATCTCTATCTTTTTAAATCCATTTTGAATTGAGTCTTTTTCAATTAAAAATATACTTAAGATACTTTACTCTTTTTGGTTGCAGATATAATCACTAATTCTGAGCCTTTTTAATCTCAGCCATCTGTATTGAAATGTAGGGACTAGGTTAAAATCATAAAATTGTCATTCAAAACTTTCCTGCAATAAATAACTGATCTTTTGTGAGCACTGATAACTATAAAGAAAATGTAACCCAATGTCTACAGAATTCCAGCTCAAAGCAATTTGACACTTTGTGGAAAACAGTTCAAAACTAATACATTTTAACTTTTTTTCCCTTCTCATGTACTTCAGGCATGTTCAGATCAGCAATGAGTCGGCAATTGATTTCTACAGGAAGTTTGGCTTTGAGATTATTGAGACAAAGAAGAACTACTATAAGAGGATAGAGCCAGCTGATGCTCACGTACTACAGAAAAACCTCAAAGTTCCTTCTGGTCAGAATTCTGATGTGCAAAAGATAGACAACTGAACAAATGACAAATGAACTTTCTTGCACTTGCTTGTCGCCAAATAAAAGAGAGGCCCATTGATTTCCCCTAATCCTTTCTTTTAGCTTTCTTCCTTCCTTTTTCTTAGTTTTTCTTTTCCTCTTTCCTGTAAAAGTTTGTTCTTTCAATGACTTAAAAAAAATCATGTTTGGATTTTTCTCTTATTTTTGTGAGGTGGTTTCATTGAAGGAAATAGAAGGTAGATATGTAAGATGTATGGTCCCAAAAATCTGGGTGTCAAATAATTTTAAACTTTTTCGCTAATTTTTGTTTGAATGTCCTGCTTTCACATTGAAGGGCAGAGCCTACAAAAACTTATTTCAGAAGATGAAAGAAGTAGCAGCAATATCTTGTTTTCTAAGTCATGGACATGTTTAGTGTGTTTGTGGTACTTTGCATTTTTCAGGACTGTTTGTGGGATAATAATCCCTTGACATTGCCTTCACTCCACCTTCTGAGCTCTCACTCTCAGGAGTTGAACCATTGCTATCCTTGTAAGAAATACTAAAGCTTATTTTGGTTCCTAAAAGCAATTTATTTCTTGTCTTGGTGGATGGGCAATATGGGTAAGTAGTGTTATACTTTGGTTTAAATGTTGCTTTTTTGCTGGAGTGGGCTGGTTGCTTGCAGGTTTGGTTTTCCTGCTGTTGATTGTTACTTGTGGCATTAACTTTAACAGTTGGGCTGGCGAGATTAATTTTGTCTTAATATCCCAGCTAGAAAATATGGCCTTTAACTGACCTAAAGAAGTTTTTGTGATTCAAGTTTTTATTTCTCCTATTCTTTTTCTTCAGTAAATACAGTGATAGTTTAGTATTAAAAATGGAGTTGATGTCTTTATAGGTCAATACCCTTAAATAATCCTGTTGCAGATGTTTCTTTGACAAAAAAAAAAAACTGAAAGGAAGGTTAGCTGTACTTGTGGCACAGTAAATGTATTTAGCATCGAGAAGATGCTAGACATAAGAATAGACAGTATTTTTGAGAGTAACAAAGCTGTGCTATTCCTTATCTGTTGGAGAAGATCCCAGATTTGCTTAGATTCTGCATATGCATTGAGTTTAAGGATTTGGAATAAGGGGAGTTATTAAACATAGTGATTCTTTTGTTGCAAATGTGGAAATGCGAAGTATTAGTGAGCAGATGTCACTGTGACCTCCTCTACTGACAGGACTGGTGTGTGCCAGATAGTTCTCTGGAGCTTAAGGAGAGACTTTTGACAGGTTGGTAACTTGCTCTAAGGAGATATCTAAAATATTCATGTTTTCCTCCCATTTCAAACAGATTACCAGTACTGATGACCCAAAAAATTGTTCTTGTTGGAGAAGAGAGCTTTGGCTTTAAATGGAATATCACAATATTTATCCTGTTATATAAATGCTGATATAGAAGTCTCATCTCCAGATGTGTTAAATGACCGTTATTATGCAAAGTGTTTATATACACTTTATTACTTTTTGTTTGAGAATGTGAAAGTACAAAGTACAATAGACTATCAGTCTCAAGTGCCAAGAATAATACAGAAAAATTAGTTGATGGGTGAATTTATAGGTTTCTGATCTCCATATAGCTAAATGTAGGAAGGACCATACAGGTTTCCTCGGTATCAGTTTCTTAAACTTTTGAACAGTCTAAATCTAGAAGAAGAGCTTAGTAGTAAGTACCCTTACCTTCATGAGTAAGTTTCAATTTGATCTTGCCAAGAAAAGAGTGCTTGAGTCACAGAAGGCATAATTAATTTGAAGAACTCAGCCTTTTTGTAAACTTCCAGATATCAAAGTAGATTTTGATATGTAATGACACTGCCTCTATTTCTACAACCATTTCACCTGGACTGTAATCAGTCCTTTGAATGTATCCCTAAATGTTATTGAAAAACCGAATAGCTGCCTCATAGTTAAAGTACACATTATTTAAGGAGGAAAAAAATAAATTTTGAATTGAATGTTTTAGGCACCCTGTTATAGATTTTCTTTTTCCACACTACTCAGTGACTTGTTCTAAGTTGTAAATGTTTGTAAAGGATTTATTGTTGTACATCAAACTTCCACTTAGAGAGGAAGAGGAGATGGAAGAGGTAGAAGCTAAGTCTAGTTCATATATCTATGAATCAGTAGTGATTAATGTAATGTCCCATGTTGATTTGGTTATTTTGATATGTGATAAAAATTATCTTTGAAGTGAAACAGTACTTGTTAACTGGAAGATCACGGTATATTTACATCATATTTTTTAGGACAGATAGTTTTTACTGTGAGCTAAATCAAAATTTTACTATAGATTATTTCCATTTGGGTTCTAACAAAAAGCATCTGTAGAGAATCTATGCAATATATAATTTGTCCAGATTTGCTTTCATTTTGGGAAAGAAGCTCTGAAATACATCTCAAAGGCAATTGCTCCTCAATTGAAAGCCCTCCAAAAAGAGAACTATTGGGAAACTGATGTGTGGTGGTAGAAAAAGAAAAGCTCCCTCAGTTTTTTGGAGGGGATAACTTAAAAAAAAATCTAATGGCTAAGTTTACTTGGTGCAGAAAAGATTAAATTTGTCAATTTTAACATTGCTGTTACATCTGAAATAAACTTATGTGATGTTCTGGTAGTGATCTGTGGTGTCTGAATATCAAGGAAAATTGCGCTTGTGCTCAATATAGTTACTGTGTATTGTTATTTCACATTTTACTAAAGCCATCCAGGTGTAAATCAAGTTACCTTTTTCACACCTTTTGGAACTTGATAGAACTATCCAACATCATCTGCAGTTTGATCCTAATGAGAGAAAAACAGATCTGAGGAGCTGTCCTGCTACTATATTTTGAGTATGACATTTTGAGTGTGATGTAACACTTTAGACTGCAAATTACTGTGTATAGATAACATTCACAGTTTTTGTTTTTTTATATGAGGAAGGAGCTCATAGTTGAGTTGAAGCTGATGTTTTCCTGAATATCAAATGTGAATTTAAAATTTAGGAAAATTTGCTCAAAATTTAATCTGTGCTTAGAGCTGTTGAATTTTTCTGATTGCATTTGAGAAACAGTGACTGATCTTTGCTATTATGTTTTAACACTTCTTAGCATATCATTCTGAAATTTATCTGCTTAAAACAAATTATCCCACGAGGTTTTTTCCCCCCTTAATCCTACACTCTGAGACAGGAAAGAGCAGCAGTTAGCTGATGGTTTTGCTCTGGGAGTTCATAAGGTTGCAGCCAAGCTGTCATCCAGGATTGTATCAGCTTGCAGTGTTGACAAGGACTGCAGGAATCACTTAAAAGATGGCTTATTCACATGGCGACAAGGTCCCTCTCTTCCTCACTGTGGATCTTTCTGTAGGACTGCTTGAGTGACAGCTGCCATCTGGCCTCTGCCAGTGGTCCAGCATAAGCAGAAACATACTCGTTAGACTCAGATGACTTTATATTTGCCATACTCTACCAGTCATACTTGGCAACCATTGTACCAGCCTGGTACAGTGTGGGAGGGAATAACAAGGATATGAATATTAAGATAGAATTTTGATCAGGTCTTTTAGGAGACTGACTCTCACACCACTCACTCTGGGAAATGCTGTGTTGACTACCAAGGCAGGGTGTTGGAGGAAGTTATCCTGTGTTAGTCTCTGAAGGGTTATTTGCATACAGGTTAGCATTTCTTAAAGATTTATTTATTTATTTTTATTACAAAGTCAGAGAGGAGGAGAGACAGAAAGGAAGATCTTCCGTCCGATGATTCACTCCCCAAATGAGCGCAATGGCCCAGAACCTCTTCCAGGACTCCCACGCGGGTGAAGGGTCCCAAGGCTTTGGGCCCTCCTTGACTGCTTTCCCAGGCCACAAGCATGGAGCTGGATGGGAAGTGGAGCTGCCGGGATAGAACCGGCACCCATATGGGATCCTGGAGCATTCAAGGCAAGGACTTTAGCCACTAGGCCACACCACTGGGCCCAGGTTAGCATTTCTTTAGGAAAGCACTGCACTACAATACAATTCAGAATATAAAAGAAAAGGAATGATCTACAAGTACTTGTGGCTCATTTTAAAGAGGAAACTCAGATTGGTGGCTTTTTTAGTTGGCAGTTTTGAGTATTTCAGAAAACTTAAATACTATGCTTAAAAGTAGAATCAATGAGCCTATGGGAATTTTTCCAAGGAATAACTACTGTGGTAGAAAGCCCTGAATTGAGAAACCTTGGTCTTTGTGTCCAAGGTTGACCCACAGGAACTTAAAAATACTAGCAAATAAATGCAACCATAAGGGAGGGAAAAGGCTTATGATTATGATAAAAGCCTGAATCTGTCATTTGGGGAGACACTCTGGATGGCATAATTTGTAAAGATTTATTTTATTGGCAAGGCAGATTTACAGAGCCAAGGAGAAGCAGATTCCCCATTCACTGGTTTCACTTTCCAAATGGCTGCAGTGACTAGCCGAGCCAATCTAAAGCCAGGAGTTTCTTACTGGTTTAAGTATGATCGGCAGGTCCTAAGGTTTTGGGCCATCCTCTACTGCTTTCCGAATTTGTAAGCAGGAAGCTGGATGGGAAGTGGAGTGGCTATGCCAGGAACTGGCACCTTTGTGGGATGCTGGTGCTTGCAAGGGGAAGATTGGGAGTGGAGAACAGTTTTACTTGTTTGCTGTCCTCAAAAACTAAATGCAGAGCTTCCTGACATCTAAATGGCCTAAACCTTTAAGGATATGTACTTATAAAAATTTCTTTGAACAGTTTTGAGCTCAATAAGATCTCTTATCCTTATGAAAACATACTGCTTAGTATTGGAATTTCTTCATAAAGATGTGGGCTTTCTAGCAATCTTTTGTTAAGCGTAATAAGCTTCTTAGGAACTATATAAACAGGCTTAATATAAATGAAATTTTAACACATAACTTGACATATAAAAACAGAAAAGTACTTTTTTAAGAAGTTGATTTTAGATGAACACTTTTATCTTCTTTATTATTATTCCGTAGGCCCTGGGATTTTCCCTAACCCCTCCCCTACTAAGTTCCCCCAAGTCATTATATTAGTATAGCTCCTCATAAACAGTCATTAAGTCCATCATTGCGGGCATGGACAATGGCAGAGTCCAGCATCCCAGTGTCATGACACATCCAACAGTTTTGCTGGGAGTCCATCATTGATCCAGAAGTAGAGATGCATCCTGCACCATGTTCTCACATCTGGACATGTCAGTTTAAATCCTCCCAAGTGAAAAACTATAAAACAACAGGAAGAAAAATTGATACTGCTGTGAAGTTAAACAACATGCTACTGGACATGATAGTCTACATTACACAGTTAATAGATGAGTACTTTCTCAAGAACCTTCAATGACATTTTACTATGGTCTGTCAATAGCATTTTCTCCTTGTGAGATTATGTAGGTGTACAAGATGCAATGGTTATAATTTGTTCTCACAAATGGATTAATCATTTGTTTAAAAAGTTCTGTTACAGTGAGAGAGACATCTTCATCTATAGATCACTTCCCAGATGGCTGCATCATCTGGGACTTGAGCAGGCCAAAGCCAGGTGTCCATCCTGGTCTCCCACAGGATTGCAGGATCCCAGGTACTTGGGCTTTCATGGACTGCTATCCCAGACCCATTAGTGGGAGTTGGAGCAGAAGCCAGAAGCCTGTACTCAACATGGGATGCTAGTGTTGCAGATGTGTCTCAATGTCTGCCCCTAGGACCTCCTCTTCTAAACCGTGGGGGGTGGTAGTGAACAAAGCAAGTGAAGTTCATGGCTTTGCTGAAACTAGTTCAAATAGAATTCTTGTGTTAGTTGAAAGTCTTTCTTTCCCTTCCTAAAATGAAGGATCTTGATTTTACCTTAACTTTTAGAGAAAAATAAAGTAAAAGCCTGCATCCACAGAGATGGACATTAATGTTCATTTGCAACAATTAAAACCAAGATATTTTCCCACCAAAAGGTGATAGGTGTATGCTGTATCAACACAACTGGAGATAGTGAATTACGAAAGTAAGCAGGCAAGTAGATAAATTAAACGTGCACTAAATGAGCTAACATATAAAAGTTTACATAGACTTTATTGGTATAAAATTCTAGAAATTAGGATTTAATGTATAAAGACCTCGGGAACAAGCTGAAGTCTGGAGGATTAGAAGCAGTTTGCATGCTGAGTGAGAAGGTGCACCTCACCTGTCTCCAGAGAGGGCCTTAATCATTCAAATACAAAAGGAACTGCGAGGTCACCCCCAGAGTCGGCAGGAATTTGCAGGCCAGAGAAAAGGAGCACAGAGTGAAGGAGGGAGGCAGCCAAAGGCCGCCCAGCATGGTTCTAAATGTGTTCAGGCCATCGTAGGGCCCTTCACCCTGCATGTTTCGGGGCGAATCCCACACTGGCGTCTGGGCAAGGGGAGCAGAGGGGTGCATGCAGGCTCTGCTCGTGTGGATTCCCAGATTCCCAGGACGAAGCACAAATGAGGGCTCCCACTTCTTGCCACGGCTGTCCTCAGCCCCCTTCCTCAGTCCCTCATCCACTGCAGGATACAGAGTGTGTCGTGAAATAACCAGATGTCCGCAACCACTTGTAATAAGTACGGGCAGTCTTAATGCCACTCGAGGCTCTCAAGCATGTGGCTGGAAATGAGTCACTATGTGAAAAATGAACTTGCACAAGGACAATGACCAGTTTAACTTAAAAAAAAATCAGTATAAGCATTGTAAGCATATGCCAGCCGCCCACCAAATAAGCCTGATGCAATTAATAACATGATCCAGCGTGGTAATGGCTGCGGTTAAAGATCCCAAGCTTCAGTTAGGAAATAAGAATTAAATTCAAAAACTAATATCCTGCCCTTTATCAAGCATATTATTGTTATTTTCCACTTTGAAATTGTACTGGGGTCATACTAAAGTGTGTGTGTGTAATAGAGGTCTAAATTCACTTGCGTGGTTTTATAAAGTTTTTGTGGTTTTCATTTAAAACTAGCACATCACAGTTGTTTAGGAACTCATGCATGTCATACGTGATTATTTGCTAACCAGAATACCTTACATATTCTGACCACAGAGCACATCATTTCCTACAGCTGCACATACTAATACTATGCAATCATTGCGGGGTTGGGGATATTAACCATTACCATTGTGCCTCTGAATTATGGTGTCTTAATTATCCAAAGGTTTGATTTGGGTGTGCCAAAGCCAACTAAAGCTTCATGTGCCTACACAGAATAAATAAAATTTACAAAGTGTTCATTAATGCCACAGTTTAGAACAGTATCAAAGATCTATCCTAATTCTTCCAACTACTGTACAAGCATGAGTAGCAGCTGATGACTAACTACTCTGGTACATCGGTTCAACTAATTTCATCATGCTTCGCCCTGTGTGTTTGGAGAAGTTACCTCGTCTGTGGACACCTAAGATCTGGGATATTTCCCAACCTGGCTATGGAAGGACTTGGAAATCCTACCACCATTAGGTGTGGGACACCTATTTTAGCACAGGATGGGGTGGGGTGGGTGGTATTACGAAGTGCAAGCGGAACTGGGGAAGTGGACGTGTGGCCGCGATCTCAGGGCTCCAGTCTCACCCTGGAGAGGACGCTTTTCTGTGTCGCACGATTT